ATAACTCCGCTTCGCAAGTACGAACTCCTACATTGGGTTTAGTCCAAGGCTCTCTCCAGCATTGACGACATCAATACAAAACCCCTAGAGAGGCTTACGTCATTGCCCTTCCGCTTCTTCCACTCCAGTTTCTGGTTGAATCTCTCGAGGGCGCTCTCGTCGCTTCTGCTGAGGTTGGCGACGGAGAAGAAGTTGTTCATCCAGGTCGTGGAGGCCACCTGGGAGTCAGGGGCGCAAATTGCAGTAGCTGATATTCCGCAACTTTTTGTGAATTCCTTCTGTCTATGAGTATCATATCACATTTTACTCTATTCTTATCGCTGATTACAATGAAATAAGGAAAATGTTTTTACGTCCTCCCTGCGCCATCCCTATACAAAATGCATACGATAGGTCATCGTCATACCTTGTAAATGGGGCACCAGACTATGCTGGGAGTATGATCCGTATCCCAAATGAACAGGTCGATCGCGGTCGCCCCGGAGATCGACGGCGTCGCCTGGCACACGCGGCTCACGGCCGACGCCCGCGCCTCCATCTCGCTCATGCGCGCGCCGAGCACCGCGCGCTCCTGGGGGCGGAAGGCAGGTGCATGTGTGTAAGAATATATATAAACATACATATATATACATATGTGTGTGTGTGTATGTATGTATGTATGTATGTACACTCACACACACGCACACACACACACACACACACACACACACACACACACACACACACACACACACACACACACACATATATATATATATATATATATATATATATATATATATATATATATATATAAATATATATATATATATATATATATATATATATATATATATATATATACATATATAAGCATTTTTAAAGTCCAATACACAATCCACCCAACCGTCTCTTTCTTGTAACATTTCAGAAACATAAAAACAGAGATTAGCTACGCATGACTTTCCTTCCCTAAAACCAAATTGCTTATTTGATATCATTTCGTGTTTTTTCAACCACTTCAACCCACTGTTTCCTAATTATCCTACCCAATGGCTTGCATACTACACTGGTTAACGAAATTGGTCTATGCTTGAGAGGGTTTTGTTTGTCGCCATTCGTATATAACGTTGGCGAAAGTCCAATCCCTTGGTAGTTTTCCTTGTCTCACTGAATTTTGGAATATTAACAATGACGGAGTTCATAATTCTTCGGCACATTCCCTCAGAACCCAGTTAGAAATCATCATCTGGTCCGTCTGTCTTCTCGAACTCTTTTAGTAGGCTTTTACTTAATTAATTTTGACTGTGATGTTTTCGATATTCTGATTTACGTTTGTTCGGTCACTTGCCATTTCAAAGTATGGGTCCTGAACAAACACTGACTGAAATTTCTCATTAAGGATTTCACACATTTCCTCCTCCTATAAACGATGTTATTGTCTTTGATGGCGATAATTTGATCTCTACTTTTAGTATCACTATTTATGTAGTTAAAGAAGAGCTTTGGTTGATTTGTTTATTCAATATATATCCTTTTCAAAGTCTAATTTCGGTTTAGGTATACTAATTTCTTCCTACGTTATACCTCTCATACGCTACCTGAGATCTACGTCTTCTGAACCTTTTCCAAAGGAGCTGCTGTTTTCTCTCATGTTCTTGTATTTATCACTGAACCATTTCTGGCTTCAGTTTTAATTCTTGATGTATTTTTTTACTGCTCCTTGTCAAATTTTTTAATACTGTACATCAAGGTTCTCTTCGTCCAGAAGTGTTTCTCACTTAATGCCTTCAAAAAAACTTTGAAGCTTTTAAAATTACCCCACTTGTCCTTTCCCTTTCTTTCCTTATGGTGAGTTTTTTCCCTGCAGTAGGCAGTATTTCAAATTATTACAAGGTCACTTTTTTCCTGGAGGAAGATAGTACTCTATATCCTTTATATCGCCTTTATGCTTTGTGGACATCAAGTCAAGCATAGATGCTCTATCTAGCCTTCTGGAGAGGGCAATACTCATTTATGACTTCTAGTAATTTTGCATTCCACGAATATGGCTGCGCACTGGTATCGAAACTTTCCCACACAATTTTGCAACTAAAACCTCCTGTTGCAGGAATTTATTTTGGTTGGTTTCCGAAAATTGTAGCACTTCGATTTTCCTTGCCGTCTCTGCAAGACGTGTCTTTATTTCTTACATTGTAATCTTGATGTTTTTTTCTTGATTTTTTTTTTCCATTTCATTTACTGTTTCCTGTACTTTAGATACATAGGCATATGTAGCTGTCACCTTTTTCCTTCTTCCATTTGTGACTGGCTGCTTGACAAATTGCTTTCACATGTTTAACAATTTCCTGTACTTTGATTACTTCATCAACTTTTTTTTTTGCGGATTCTTTGCTTCGATGTTTCTTCTTCCACCTTTTATTTGAGTTCCTTGATTTTCATGTCAGACTTCTTCAGTATTCTCTCTCTGAATGACTTTGTTCCTGCGCAAATCATCCACCAGTTCTTTCAATTTTATGTTTTCTTCATGCATTTTCAAACATTCTGCTACCAGGCTAGCTACCTTGGCTTCAAAATCCTCAACTCTAACTTTTCTTGGTCTGTCTTTAGTTGTTTCTCATTAAACAAACACAAAAACAGCTGTCCTCACGACAGCTGTTACTCTGCGCGAAACGCTAAACCATGCAGGATTCGCGATCACTTCTCCTCTCACTTATTCGTTCATTTTATAACCAGATTTTTTTCTATTACCATGAACTATGCACATTTAAAGAGTCCATGACTGGCAGACTAGGCCACCCACTGCCCGATCTTCTGCGTATTTAACATGTATGAGCTGTTCTGCACCAGTGCGATGCAGTGCGCGGGTGTGTGTATGTGTGTGTGTGTGGGAGGGGTGCATATGAAGATACTGCAACAATAACTGCACTGAATTCTGGTTAAATATTTATCCAGAACCTGTTTTCGAGGTCATAAACTCTGTTACCATCGGTTACTCAGTGAAAATCAACAGCCAGCACTTTGGTCCGGGTAACACCTCATATAACCGGTTGCATTGCAACGTGAAGAGCCTGCATGTTAAAGGATAAACTGGTCAATGATTCCACGAAACATTATCTGCCCCAGTTTATTTTCATTGCACATTGCAACGCTGCCCTTAGTATGCGCTGCAAAAATATATACCAAGATAGGATGGATTACTTATTCAACACCAGCCTCGCAAATGTGTGGACTTTACAACCATATTAATCAGTCTCCTGTGGATGCGCCTACGACATCATATTGACTTCTGGCGCCCTTTACATATATTAGAGGATTTTTTATCTAATTCCTTTTTTCAGTGAGAGCCTGAGCACTAATTCTTTACAGCTGTTCGATTTTAATTAAAGTTCGTTGAATAGTGATTTAGTGTTTAGTGAAGTTTATCATTCGGCATTAATGTTCGAAGCTGGAATAACATCGTATTCGTTAACTAGCACTATCATCCTGCAGTGCTCGCAACATATATATATATATATATATATATATATATATATATATATATATATATATATATATATATATATATATATATATATATATATATAATATATATATATAATATATATATATATATATATATATATATATATATATATATATATATATATATATATATATATATATTCCCTCTCTCTCTCTCTCTCTCTCTCTCTCTCTCTCTCTCTCTCTCTCTCTCTCTCTCTCTCTCTCTCTCTCTCTCTCTCTCTCTCTCTCTCTCCCTCTCTCTCTCTCTCTCTCTCTCTTCTTTTTCTTTTTTTCTTTCTTTCGTTTCTTTGTTCTTTTGGCGCAAGATCTTCTCCCGGAAAACGCTGACCGCTAGACGTTTTTATGAGAGCCGAAATTGCTTTTGGATTTTTTTCTGTCTTTTGACACACCTGACCATTATAACATGTCGGACTGACTGCTGCTGACTTTTGATTCGTTATCCGTAATTTATTTGATTCATGACGTCAGGATCTTGCTTGCAGTTACGGTAATTCGCGCGCTTTCAAGTAACTGTTTTCCATGGTTCTTTCCGTACACAAAGCACTGAAAAAAAATATCAGATTTCTGTATAAACTCGCTAAATCTAGCACCAAAGCGCAAAGATGGCATGTCTGGTGATTCTGTGGTCTGGATGTGGTGACTGGCAAATTGCACATATTTTTTCTTTCACCCGACCGAGAAGAAGAAACGTTAAAATGAGTTTCTTTTTAATAGGGTTTCAAATAACCGACTATAAACCAAAAAACAACACTCATGAAGAGAAACATTATGCAAATACATACTACGGTATGGGAAGTCAGCGGAGACCGATATGCAGCCACGGGACTTTTTATTCGCGATGTCTTTGCAAATCTGCCATTGAATGGCGGCCGCGGATCCGGTCGGAAGGAGGGCGATTTCGAGGCGAGATTTGTGACTCTCAGAGCGTCAGGCCGAATGGGGGCTATCGCATAAGCCCCCAATCGGGCTTGCTTTTGACGCTTTTGTCTAATCTCAGACTTTTCCTCCGTTGCCCCAAGCCTGTGTTCCTCCTTCAGTTCAGGGAAGAGCTGGCCACTCCGCAGGGCGCTGGGCAGTTATCGCCGGGCACAGGGCTCGGCAGATATCGCCTTATCGGCACCAGCATCCACGTGCCACAACTGATATCGTCCGCTACCCACGGGGTCGAGGGCGGGGCGAGTGTTAATGGACTGGGCTTCGAGCAAAATAGCCAGGGCCGTATTATGACATTGAAAATAAAAAACTAATGGTACTGGTACTTATTTTGAGCTAATGAAGGTCTGTGGGAAAATGAAAATAATGATAATGGTAAGAAATAAACTAATTACAATTAATTACACCTTTCAAGAGTAAATACAAATACCCAAGATTCGATTTTCCTTTTTCTCTATCACTGTTATTCCTTTTTCTCCAACTTTCCCTTTCCATTTTCTGTTTTCTTCTGAATATTTCCATGCGACTTACCTCTGGAGTGTACTCGGCGAGGTCAATCC